TTCTTCATCCTTGGTGACAGTGTTCCCTTCTGCATTCAATAAAGAACTGAGATTTTTCTTGGCCCTCTTTTTATTAATGTATTTATAAAAACATTTTTTAGTTTCTTTCACAGTGGTGTCCAGACTGAATTCTACTTGATCTTCCACCTTTCTAATTATCTCTCTGCATGACCTAACAACATCCTTGTAGTCCTCCTGAGTTACATAAACCTTCTTCCAAAGGTCATAAACTCTCTTTTTTCCTCCTGCATTCCAGCAGCAGCTCCCTGTTTCGCTAGGCCAGTTGTCTTCCCCACTGGCTTTTTTTTCAGGCCATACCCACTGGCTTGTCTTTCAGCACATAGAGACTACCTGCTCCTGCGCCTTTAAGATTTCTTTCTTAAAGCATCTCCAGCTTTCCTGGACACCTTTATTTTTAAGGGCCATTTCCCAAGGGACTCACTGAACCAGTGTCCTGAACAGGCCACCCTCTGTAAGTCCAGTGTAGAGGTTTTGTTGATGCTTCTCCTTACTTCACCAGGTATTGAAAGCTATCATTTCGTGGTCACTGTGCCCAAGGCAGCCTCTGACCACCATATCTCCCACCAGCCCTTCTCTGTTTGTAAACAGCAGGTCTAGCAGAGCACCACACTGGTAGGCTCACTTACCAACTGTGTCAGAAAGTCATCTTCCATACACACCAGGAGCCTCCTAGACTGCCTCCCCTCTGCTGTGTTGAGTTTCCAGCGGATATCCGGTAAGTTGAAGCCTCCCACAAGAACAAGGACCTCTGATCATGAAATGTCAGCCAGCTGCTTACAGATTAATTCATCCACCTCTTTGTCGTGATTGTGTGGTCTGTAACAGACTCCCTCTAGGATGTGTGGCTTGCTAGCCTTACCCTTGGTTCTTGGCCATAGGCGCTTAGTCTTATCATCACTGTCTTTGAGCTCTATAGAGCCAAAACACTTCCTAATGTACAGAGCCATCCCACTGCCTCTCCTTCTTTGCCTGCCCCTTATGAAGAGCTTGTAGCCATCCCCATCATGTTTCCATGATGGTGACTACGTCATAGCTTTCTTGCTGCCAAACAGCTCCTCCTGTTTGTTGCCCGTAGTGTGGGCATTGCTGTAGACACACTTCAGCTGGGCTATCAGTTTCACCCCTAACACTGGCATGCCAGCCCCAGCCTTATCTCTAGTGAGCCTGATCTTATGCCCTTCTCCCTTCAAAGGGAGGGGAAAAAAAGCTTTCCCAAGTCCAGCTCAGCATCAAAATTACATTGCACTCTACAGTTGAAGTGCTACCTGTGGGGTCTCCCTTGCTGTTAATTTTGCTTCAGCATTAGGAAGCAAATACGAGTTTCGTGGGTGATATGGTGACTGTTGTTTTGCCTGATGGGATACCAAGCTGGAGTCTGCTTTTGTTCCCATGCCCTTGCTCTGCCCTCTCGTTCCTTATCCCTAAGCTTTGAGTTTAGCTGGATCCACACTCACCTTGCACTGGGAGCCATGCCAATGAAACGGGCATTAATGAGGTGGAAAGGAGGAAGGGTAGAGAGAGAAAATGAGAAACTTTTTTTATCTTGTAATACATTCCAGCTAAATTACAATTAGTTCCCAAGTTATTGCCCATCTTCAAAAGCTGTGTTATTACGGTAAATGATTTTAAATAGTGCACACTAATTTATTCATAATGTTGATGGATCCAAGAGCTTTTAAAACTTTAGTAAAAATATGTTTGTGCTTTCAATATAAGTGTATTCTTCAAAATAAAAACACTTTCAGCACTTTGTGCAAGAAAAAAGTGACATTTCCTGTTTTTACCTGGTAAATATAAAATTCAGAACTACAAATATACACTTGAGAAATACAGACAATATTTGAAATACAGCAGTGTAGTAATTTCTTAAAGCTAGATGTGCTTAACTTGTGGAAGTGTTGCATCCAGTTAATTGCATTTGAGTCTGGAATTCAAGAGAACTGCTGTTCGTAGTTTGAACCACCTCAAATCTGTTGCTGTCTGGCATGGGGTACAACTTATTTCCCTAAGTTTACTCTTACTTGTGGTCGTTACAGAGCATTTTATGTCATGAATAAAGTGCAGATTATTAGTATGTTCCGCTTTGTGCCATTTACTTGCTTCCTGATAGATACAAATATATTTTTCTTATTTCTTTATTCAGTTCTGGCTTTGTATTGTAAATTAGTTCTTTAGGACTCTTCTTTCTAATAATACAGATACGAAAGTATGGATCTATAGAACTTGTGCCTGTAATACTTTATGTTAAACATTGATTTTCTTCTATTTTACTTCTTCCAAAAATCCCAGTGTTTTTTTGTGGGGCACATGTTCTTAAAATATATAATCATACTATCACACATGCAGCTCCAGTTTCCTGTGTTTGAATCTTTTTGCTTTAGCATGTATTGTGCTGTACTCATTGTGCATGTGTTAAAAGTGGTGGAACAAGCTACTGGTAGCCAGTGCTTGATTTTCTGAGTAGCTTTCTGGGGAAAGCATAAAACAGTGGCAGACAAGATTATTAAAATGTGAAATATAGGGAGATAATGTCAAGAACAAGAAAACTCTATGAAAATCCTTCCTGAAGCTGAAAATCGCTCCCCAGCTCCAGAACTGCTGCTGGCAGCAGCAGAATCATGCTGCCTGCTCTTGTCCTGCCGCACAACAGGCATCTTCAAATTGCCTGGCAGATTTCTGCGCTGGAACAGCATTCTTAATCTGAGTGCTTGCAAATTAATTCCATGCAGCCCATTGATCAATATCTTGTAGAATTAGATAGCAGTGGGGTTTGGGGTTGGTTTTGCTATGTTTGGGTTTTTTCCCTTTTGAATACCATTGGTGAAATTCATATTGATTTCAGACGCTTAGGTTAAATTCTAGGGCCTGTTAACTGTGATTTCTTGTAGTCAGTACTCTAGATTGTTGCTTTCTGGTAGGAGAGAGTGGAAAGGTTTTCTTTGTTGTATAGAGCACACTTATTTTGGTCTTGTTCAAAAGAACTGTGATTTGATCTTGGAATGTGAGGAAAGGTTGCTGATGGGTCCTTTCTAGTTTGTATTCCACTTGTCTTAATCAACAATGGGTTGGTACATCATCACATTAGTATCTGTGCAAAGATTGGTGTTGTCAGAAAGTCATGGAGAAATTACTGAATTCATTCAGCCCACAGGACTGAAAACCAGCTTTCCACTGTTTTCCCAGAATTGCTGAATGGTTGGGGTTGGAAGGCACCTCTGGAGATCCTCCAGTCCAAATTTTCCTTTAAAGAAAAATATAAGGAGAGGAATGTGTCTCTTTTTTGTCTTATCCAGCCGTGTTTTTCCCTCCTGCAGCAGTGGGAGTTTGTAGGCAGCCTCGCACAGACTGTCCCGCATGCTCTGGACACTAGATGGGGCACGTTAATAGCACAGCTTGGCTACAGCCGTGGGACAAAGGGAATGTGTCTGAACATGGAAATGGGTGGTATTTCCAGTATGGCAGAGAGAGCTGTGGGAAACGAGGAGCTTTCCTAGACAGTTTGCATTAAGGATGGTCTCTTTATTTTCTAAGATTATCATGTCGGGATCATATAGAGCAAAATCCTCATTCTGCCTGTGTCCAATTAAAAGGAAAAACAATTCTACTTGGTACTTTTTAGCTTGAAACTAATGCGTGCAAGTTATCTGTTCCATAACATGTTAGGCATTTAAAGCTGTTACAATATATGCCATTTTATAAACACTCTGCCTCCTGAAATTGATATAATGCATTTTATTAATCATGCTTTAATCTAAACTGTTCAAGAACTATATTACTATGAAATCTTCAGGTGCTAACTTCAGAAACACAAAATGAGGATTTGTTTCTTAACTTAGGCAAAGATACTTTGGGGAATGTGTAACTAGTTGGTATTCTAGGTGCTCTAAAAGCCTAAGAATATGAGATTAGAAGGTAGTGTGTTTACTAGTGCATGTTTAGTATAACAGCTTCCTCAAAACAGTCTTTTGCATGGTAGCATGGTAAAAAGCTTCACTAGTTTAAAAAAAATGTTTTGGTGCACTGAGCTATTTAACTTGTACTGGCAACTCTGAAATTCACAGAAGAAGATAAAACTATGAAAAAAAATCTTGGACCAAAATGTATGCAATACTATTAAAGGCAAAGGTGATAAAATCAATTTAATTTCTGAAATTTAATTTATAAGATGTAGCAAAAACCTCGAATCACATCCAAAAGGGATTGTCTTCAAAGAGGAGAGAAATGCTCTTTGAAAATCTGCTCCCTGTGTCTTGCCTCTAGCAGTCACATGCAACAACCTGTTCTTTCTGTCTACCACTTTCAGTATTTGTGGTGATTGTTGTCACAAACAGTTTGGGATCCCTGGTGTTTGCATTTGTCAGCTGTTGAGCCTGCTTGGTCTCGCTGTGGAGAATCCCAAGAATTCTAATCCTGAGAAAGTCTGAGGGTTTAGTAAGAGTTGATCTGAGATTTGCAGTTTAATAATTGCAGTGTAATAACATCCATGAGTTAAGCTGTAAACTATACAGTGGCAGTTGTGTGAGTTGTTATTAATGCCTAATTTTCTTTCATTTGTTTTATCAACAGCCACAAGCAGCAACCCACCCTGCCATTTTCAGAATTGTAAATGAAATTTTCAAGTAAGTTTTGAATGTATAGTGGGAAGTGTTTTCGAATGATCAGTTTCAACATTGAGGTTTTCTTCATGAGAAGAAGCAATATTGTAATCTGGGATGTATAATAATTTCAGCATGTCTTTTGCTTTACCTGTATGCTTTAAAGTCCCCTTCTGTGTAGTACGCTGCAGATAATGAAAAATGTTAAAAATCTTGTTAACTTTGACTACTACTACTACTACTACTACTACTACTACTACTACTACTACTACTACTACTACTACTATAGATCCTGTTGACTGCATTGTATTTTAGCCTGTAAGATTTTAATTTATGTTGTACTTCAGTAAAGATTTGTGGTTGAAAACATGATTTTGATGTGAAAATTATAAATGATGAAATGGCTTGGCCCATGCCATTACGAAAATGGAATTTGGCAAAAACATTTGCACTTGCCAGTGTAGCTTCTTTTACATTATATTAATGGTTTTCAGGATTTATATCAGATATGCTCTTAATGGCATTAAACAGTTGATCTGCCTGTTAGTAATGAGTTTAGTTTTGAATGCATTAAAATTATACTGAAGCAATATATATTGGTTACCACATGGGGGCTTCCAGTTCTTTTTACTCCGTTTTCAGTGCCTTTTTCTCTTTGCTTCACTTATTATTTAGTTCTTTTTAAGCAGATCTACTGCCAGGGATATCAGTATTACAGTTTTTATTCAACAGTATAGTATTTATTGACTGATACCCTGTGTTCATCAAGTGCTTTCCTTAAGAAAACAGGACTCCCAGGTACGTGTGTTTGGGGGCATTTGTGTGTCTGTGTGCATGTTTAGGTTTGTGCAGGCACTAACAGAAGAGTCTTTGCTGTAGGAACTGTAGACCACTGTATTGTGAGAGAGGAACCACTTGGCAGCTATTGCTCTGGCAGTTCTTTCTGTTGCTGTAGTCCTGTTTCTGCACAGAGCTGGTGTTTTCTAAAGAGTTGAGACAGGTCACTTTCCCAAAGCAAAATGCACTTGAAAATTGATGTGATTTCCACAGACCTGTACTGATGCCTTAAACTGGAAGTTGTATATTGTGGTAGTACAGGGAGACAAAATTTGTTCAAGCTTCTTGGCTTATTTAGGGTCATGGTATATAAAGTTTTCTAAAAATCACATGAGACTACATAACTCTTTTGCACCCTTTTCTTTTGGTAGACTGTATAAATGGATAAGATGCTGTTTCTCAGCTAATGCAGAGCTTCATCCAACACAGTATTTCCTATTAAAACTTTGCGCTTCTATTAATATTCCAAATGGTCTTAAAAATCACGTTCTCCTGTTGCTCGGTCTACATTTCTGCTCCCTTGTTTGCTTTGAATTGTTTCTACTTAGTGTGCTTGTTCTCTATTGTTATGTATTAAAACCTTAATGTATTTTAAAAATACTATGTTTCAGGTCCTCTTGGTGAATAGGTGAAGCAGTATGTGCTAGCTGGCCTTTGCAGTCCTATTGGTTTATGCAGCTTTGTGTGTTTTTGTTGCACATACTTGGACGTACTTCCAGATTTAGTCTCGTGAGATTTTAGAGAGCTCCTGATAAAGAACTTGAAATTCCTTGCTGAGAAACTGTTAGGTTTCTTTCTATAGCTGGCAAAAAACTTCTTATATTTTATTGTTAGATCCATCGCTAGAACTATGGATCCAAGCATTGTATCTCTTACTGGAACAACTTTCCTGCTATTTGCATGCATTTATTGAGGTTAATTGTGCTAAATTATTTTATCACAAGGATTTTAACTTCTGTCTTTGTTTCCCAGTGCTTTCTTGCTTTGTGTGGCTATACAGAAGTCCATACACCTAGACTGTCTTGAGTTTCTGTGTACCACTTCTTTTTATGTCAGTGATTATGTTTGTCTGTAGTGTCTCTGTTACAGTAATGTGTCTTCTAACCTTTTAGATCATTATGGAAGGAATGAAACATTTCACTGGCAACTCTGTAAATTTTTGTCTCCTTACTGTTGTATGTCAAATTCAAATAAGAAAATGGAAATGCATTTCATTACCTATATATTTTTCTGCTCCATTTGCTCAAGGTTATTATGCACTATAGAAGGCCAATTATAACATTCATCTTTCTGGATGTCTACAGTGGCCTATGGGGTGCAGTCCTACAAAACACTGAACTATTCTTAACTTCAATCATGGCAATAGTTGCTCTGACCCAAATAAAACTGTTCAGATGCCAAATTGTAGTAGGCTTTAAAATTTTGTACTTATTTATCCTTATTGGTAGGCTAAATTATGTTTGTCTGCATGTATATTGTATATATTTACTAAATCTACTTTATCTGTAGGAGTTGCATATGTTTTGTTTTTTTAAGATTTAAAACAAAATATAAAAGCCTGCAAAGTTAGTGTTTCTGTTAGCGTCTGTACCGATGCAGTGAGCTCAGACACAGCTTGAATCTACAGTGTACAAAGAATATACCTTTTTTTCCATTTCAATTAAAAGTAGCACAAAGGGCAGACTAATTATCTGATCTGTCGTAATCTAACTTTTCAATGCTAGGAGTGCACTGATGGAAACTGATGGAGCTTCAGAAGTTATGACCATAGTACAGATGTTCACACAGCTCTTCCTTCAGGCTCATCAGAATGAAAATGAGGAGGTTAGTAAAGATCTCTTTTTTAATGTTTCTTTTTAATGAGAAGGTATAAAATTTCACAAGAAAAATACCAGTTCTGCTCCTAAGCGGGGTAACTGAATATAATGAGCTAAATAATAGCATCTCTCTAGAGCTGCATATATATGTCAAAGTTCAGTTAAAATATTTTTACCTGTGAATAAAATTATAGTGTGAAACCAATATGTAGCAGCAATTTACCTAACTTTACCCTGGAGTAGTCCTGCAGCTGAAACTGATTTTCACAGGGGCAGTTCCCCTGATGCTTAGTTTCTGCCTGTAGAGTGAACATGATCATAAGCATCTTATCTTCGATAGAAAGGATCAAAAACATGAGATACATTTTTCGTAAGCAGTAGCAGGGTCTTTGGTAATAAATGAAGCAGTGATAAGAGCCCCATCCCTGTCACCTGAGTAATTATAAGTAGGATACTGAATAGTCGGATTTATCTGTTCAGAAGACAAAAGACACAGAATACATACTGGTTTCAGTTTCTGATCTTCAACGATGGCCTCTCAGAAATTTTTTTTTTGTCTAAAGCTTCAAATTTCCCAGTTTAGTGTCTCTTTTTCTGTACAGATTATTTTACAGGTCTTCCTGAACTGAATTAAATAGAATTACTTTGCATGTGTTGACTTAAACAAGCAGGATCAGTATTTTACTTTTGAATTTAAATATGGAGAAATGAAAAAATCTTGTCTTGTCTATAGGTTGCAAACCTCTTTTCAGGTTCCCTAATCACTCTGTCATTTCACATCCCTACCATTTTGTTTGGCTATTGAACTCCAGTTATTATGATGCAAGTTTGGAAAGTACCCTATCACTTAATAGCTTTCACTTTAGACTTCAGAAAATGTCCAGTTCCTTTGATTTTTGTATCTTTTGGAAGAGGTGGTAGTTAAGAAAGTGTTGCGACTTCTTGGAACTTGTGACATACTGGTAGCAGTATGTGATTGGTTCTATCTTCTAGCTTCAGGCAGCTGTCTTGCTTGATACATGGGTGTTGTGCATGTTAATCCTAGGCCACCCTGACTGCATGGCAATAGCACACTGTAGCCCCAGGTGTGGATCACTGGGTGAGAATGAAAGTAAAGGTTTCACACCCATCAGAGAGCTAATCTGTTACGCTAATCTGTTACGCAGGTGAAGCATTTCCTTCAGGGTGAGAGTCCTTCATCTGCTGGCCTTGCAACATGGACTATTGCCCACCTTTTTGAAGTGGTTTCAAATGTTAAGCTTCTTCTATTTTACTTGTATGCAGTTTAATTCTTGGGGTTCTAGTTAAGGCATTATCTTCAGTATTAGAATTTAAAAGCCTTTATTTCACAGCTTATGAATCAACTGTAATGTTAACTAACTGCTGGCATGCAAAAATGCAGGTAAAGATTGCTTCCTAAAGTCAGAACCTTTTCTTTATGGCTTTTTTTGTGTCATACCAACATTACATATATTCATAAGGTACCCATCTTTGTGGTATCTGGTTGCCATTCACAGGCCATAATGTGCTCCATTAGCATTTCATGGAAGAAGTGGTAAAAATATTAATGATAGACGATTAGGAGTGATCTGCCTGCTCATCTGAGGCCTTAGGAATTTATAGTACAGTTGAGAGAAAACAGGCTAGGCAAACAGATGCATCCATAAAATTTTGAAAAGAACTGTGTCATGTCTGGCAGTTCACAGCTTTGCAGGAAAGGAGGAAAATGATTCTCTATTGCAGTATGGCAGGTATCAGAAGTAGCTGTTTATTATAACAAGTGTAGATTATCTAGAGAGAACAAGGTTTGGCAGAAAAAAAAGCTGAAGAGTATGAAAAACCAGTGCTACTGGGTTTATGAATAGTCTTTTCCACGTTTTTGGAGACTAAACATGGAGTTTAAACCTACTTATGAAAAAGTCTCATTTCTGTAGTCATTGAAGAAATTTCAGAATGCGTGTACTGAGATTACTGCTAGGATATTTTTGTACTATCAGATTTTCTTGAAGTTTGTGATGGTAGTGAAAGCTGACCAGAGGATATTTGGGTCATGTTGCCTGTAAATTTTTGAAGTTAAAGTTCATGTTTTTATTTGATGGAAATTATAATCTACTCATGAATTATTTTCCCTTGATCATTACAGAGTTGTCAGTGGTCTTCACATGAGAAGTATGTGCTAAATAGCTGGATAAATATTTTAAACCAGTGTTCAGCTTTTATTTCCTGTTTTACATCATGGCTGTTATTATAACCAGCCGCATCAAAACTTGTTCTGAATCTTTATACCTTGTTTTGTATTTTGTGATGGCTTATGTAAAGAAAGAAGTGCCCAAAAGGCTGTGTTTATATGATAGGAAGCCAACCTTTTTTGCTTTGACTAAATGATATGCTGAAAATTGGTCTTCACTTGCTTTACAATGCTGTTTTCATATGTGGCACATGCTGTGGGTTGTCTTGGCTACTGCTAACTGTGTCAAGGGTTGCTTGTTCATGGGGATTTTTGGTCAAGCTGATTGGCTACATGTATACTTGAGTACAGGGATTATTATTTTTTAATGAACCTAATTCCTCTTGACAAGTAGACTTTTAGAGTCTTACAATACCAGTGATACATAGACTGTCTGAGAATAGTGCAGTATTAGTGTGCTGTAATTTCAATTAAATGTTGTTTACAGAACACAAAAAAAAGAACAGTAGATAGTGAATGTGTCATTATGTATGGTTTTAAGATATATGCATGTATATCCCAAAAGAAATTAGTTACTAAATATGGTCTTCATTGGATATAGAAATTTATCACATTTCATGGAGTTTATATTCCCAGTCTGTGTTTCCAGAGATGATCTATTTGCTAAGTAACCTCTTATTCCTAAAGCAAGGGGACAGAAAAGTTCTAAAGTCGATGGTATGGAGACTCAAGGACTAAAATGACAGAATCATAGAGTGCTTGAGGTTGGAAGGAACCCCTGAAGGTCTTCTTTTCCAGCTCCCCAGCTCAAAAGTAGGCCTGCTTAGTACCAGATGCCCAGGACCATGTCCAGATGGGACTCTGCAAGCCTTCTGGGCAACTTGTGGTAGTGCTCAGTCACCGCACAGTAAAAATAAATTTGAAATTTAAAAAATAAAAAAGTGCTTTCTGATACACAGACAGAACCTCCTTGTGTTTCAGTTTTTGCCCACTAGCTGTGACTCTGCCACCAAGTGCCACTACAGAGCTTGGCTCTGTCTCCTTTGCACCCTCCCGCTAGGTGTTTATATACATTGATAAGATCCATCTTGAGCCTTCTCTTCTCCAAGCTCTCTCAGCCTTTCCTCATAGGAGAAATGCTCCAGTCCTTTAATCTTCCTTGTGGCCCTTTGTTGAACTGGACATGAACTAGGTGTAGTGTTTCAGATTTGGATGCTGGAGTGGCTGCTCACCAGTGCTGAGGGGAGGGATCACCTCCTCGACCTGCTGGCAGTCCTTTGCCTAATGCAGCTCAGGATACCATTCACTGCTTTGTCACAGGGCACACTGCTGGCTCAGGTTCAGCTTGGTGTCCACTGGGACCTGGGGGTCCTTCTCTGCAGAGCTGCTCTCCAGCTGGTTGGCTGCCAGCATGTACTGGTGCCTGGGATTATTTCCCCCAAAGTGCAAGACTTCATGCTTACTCCTTGTTCAACTTTACTAGACTTCTGTCAGCCCATTTCTCCAGCCGGTCAAGGTCCCTCTGAATGGCAGCACAACTCTCTCATGCATCAGCCACTCCTCCCAGTTTTCTGTCATCACCAAACTTTCCAAGGGAACCTTTCTGCCCCTTCATCCAGATCATTCATGAAGATGATATACAGGACCCGTATTGATCCTTGCTGTACTCTGATAGCTGCTGACCTCCAACTAGATTTTATGTCAGTGACCACCACCCTCTGGGCTTGTACATTCAGCTGGTTTTCTGCCTACTTCAAGGGGAGTTCATGTTGCACTTGCACATGAACTACTACTACTACGCCACATGTTAGATGTGCCTGTAGTAGAATTTTGCAGAACAAAAGGATTGAAGGTGTGCTGCTGCTAGTCTCAGTTACACAAGTGGTGTTCACAGTATACAAATCGCACATACACAGGTAAATAGAGGACAAGCATTCCCTCTGTGCATTCCCTCTCCTGGTGCTGAATCACATCCTTAGAATTTTATGTTTCTATTTTTGAACAGATGGCAATAGAATTCATGATGCCCTCAGATTTTGTAGATGTTATTAGTTCCTAGTCTAATATAATGCATGAATTTGTTTACACTGGTGAATGAAAGTAAACTAATTAGTGTACCTTTTAACTTCACTCAAAAGTGAAGACTTTTGTGATTACAGGGATATAGCCTAAGACTATTAAGATGTAATTTTTTTCATACTCTGAATCTTTTTTGATGCATATACTTTAAAAATCCATAAATAATTACTTTTCCCAAGCAAGCATTTCCTAAATATCCTCTTTCTATAAGCAAAATCCTAAAATATAATTTTCTGTTCTCTTGCTTCAGCCTGTATTGTTAATTATTACCTTAGATGAGATTATTCACTGGTTTTTTTGAAAACTGACCAGAAATCTCTTAAAATAATGTTTTTGTGTCTTAGCATAAATTTCCACTGAAGGCCTACTTCCCTTATCACCAGCCTCTTGTAAGAGCTTTACTCAGACGTCCTAGTGGTAAGTTTCTTCGTGAGGTATTTGCAGCATTACCAATCTGCATAGTCTTTATATGTATTAAAATAACTTTAAATGGGATGGAGACCAACTTTTGCCATTTCCTAAATAGGGGTGTTGGAGCAATTTTAATAATATTCTTTTAATGTGTTGTTTGCAGGAACATGTAATTCTTATGTAACAATAGTACAGCTGTAATTTTAAAGAAAACTAAACCAGAAGTGAATAACTAAAACAGATAGCATAATTGTATAGGGATGAAGCCACATTACTGAGATTTTAAAAATACTGTCTATTCTTACAATATCAGTTATTATCATTATGAATATTTGCATATGTATATTGCAAGAAATAGCCTTTCTGTTCATCTCTAAAGCTTGAATTCTGCTCATATTTTAGATTGCAAACCTAATTTTTTTTTAGGGTTTCACATTCATACAGATCAAGAAACCACTGTTCAATATAGTACAGTTTTTATGAGCAACAATTCAAGCTCCATACGCAAGCCTTTGAGAATGTTACTCCACTGATCATATTAATATTGAGATAGCATTTATGCAAGGGAACATCAGCCTCTCTTGAATTTTCCTAACTGTACTTCCTCACATGGCTTTGCCAATGAACTGTTTTACAAAACACATTAATAGGTATTGTTGAAAATTGGGAAATTTTAAAATGAAATTTTAAATGATTTGCGATAACTGAATCAAGCTGCAGAAATTTTAAAGCTAGCTTAATGTGGTTAATTTCACTGTTCTGGTTGGACAGACTAGGATTTTAAGAGGTTTATTTTCATCCTCCCTTCTCAGAAATGCCAGCTACATACTGGTCTCAACACTTGAAACACATTTCAGATATGCTCAAAGCATTAGTAGAAGATACAAACATTAGGTAAGCAGTATAAGATTTTCTAACTTTATGTTCTTTGCATATGCTACTTGGTGAAAAATTGTGTCGTTTGTAGACTTTAGTGGCTGCATTTAATAATTTTCTTACTGTTCTCAGAACAGCTTTGTTTTAAAGAATAGTTCTTAGATTACTTACTGAACCTGAGCTTTGTAGCACCTATATACATGACCAATGAGCCTTTATGTAAACAAAATCTCATTTCTTTCAAGAAATAGAATGGCTGTATAACAGAGATGCTTAGAATCATAGAATCAGCCAGGTTGGAAAAGACCTCCAAGATCATTGAGTCCAAGCCTACCGTGGTTACTAGACCACGGCACTGAGTGCCACATCCAGTTTCATCTTAAAAACCTCCAGGGATGGTGAATCCACCACCTCCCTGGGCAGCCCATTCCAATGCCTGATCACTCTTTCTGTAAAAAATCTCGTCCTAATAGCCAACCTAAACCTCCCCTGGCAGAGCTTGAGTCTGTGCCCTCTTGTCCTTCTGCTGGGTGCCTGGGAGAACAGACCAACCCACACCTGACTCCAGCCTCCTTTCAAGTAGTTGCAGAGGGTGATAAGGTCACCCCTGAGCCTCCTCTTCTCCAGGCTGAACAACCCCAGTTCCCTCAGCCTCTCCTCATAGGAACAGACCGAGGCTGAGGCTCATACTTACCTGTTCTCCCACTTCTCCTCCAAAACCTGTAAATCTGTTCTATGAAGGAGATTGGATTGGCTTTCTGCAAGCTTGTGCAAATACCCAAACTTCATATTTCTGGATTTTTTTCATAAAGATACGACTGCCAGACTGCAGCAACTGACCTGTTGCCCTTGGCTTTTTTTTGTTCAAATAGTTGCTATAATGAATGATATTGTTTGTCTGCATTAATTCTGCTTTGGTAGTGGATGCTCTAGGACTGTATGAAAAGAATAAAAAAAATTCATCTCTGTCTGCTGCTGCTGCACTGCAATTCTTTCTTAATCAGGAGTGTGATGAGACTTGACTTAGAAAGGTCTTGGATATGAGTCTGCTTAGATCTGCTGGGAGAGTGAGCTGTCCAAAGAATGTTAAACAGCTTTTAGATTCAAAGAAAGTAATTTAATTTTGATTTAAAACTCGAAATGTTTCAAGAGAAACATAGAACACCTAGGCCAGACTTGTGAAACAAGATACCCAGCTGTCCCCTCATGTCCTGGAACAGATACACTTAGGACCATGTTTAGTTTCAGTTAACTCACAGGGATTTTTTTTTTTATTGCTGAGTGGCAGAAAAAAGCTTTTTGTTGTTCCCTCTGAGGCCAGGCTGTCTGCTGGTAGCTTCTCACTTTCTGTATGAGCTGCATTTCTGTGCTATGTCTCGCCTGTTCATCCCTGAAGTGTGTCAAACCTCTCTGTCCTTGGAGTGTGACCAGTAGCTGACCCTGGCTTCTTAAAGAAACACATAACTCAAGCTTAGGACAAACAAGTATCATCCATCATAATGCATGGCAATAATAGAAGCATGTCTGTTCTCCTTTCGTTGCGCTGCCCTTTCTTGGCTTATATTGTCTTTTTTTTGATAGCACACTAGTTTGAATAGTATTTTAGTTTCCAGAATACATTCTTAACTTCCTTTAGAACTCCTTCAGCAATTATGTTTTCTACCAAATCCTTCTCAGTTACAAAGAAAATGGATCTAACACATTTTTAAATGCTAATATACATGAGGAACTGTATTCAATTTTCTTTTATTGCTTTATTCCTGATTCTGCATTCTTTCCACTTAATAAGATCTACAGAGGGTAAAAAATACTATTATACAGCATATCCTCTTGCTTCTTACAACCAGTGATCTCTGTTTATATAGTCTGTTTTTCAGTTATACTATTTTACACCAAATGTGAATCTTACAGAAAAGTACTTTCTGTGTCCTTCTAATCAACAGATTACTTCTGTGATGTGATTTATTATTATATGTAGTCATCTCAGTGAAGAGTAAATGTTAAATGACATTTTAATTTAGAAATCAACTCATGTATATTTTGTGAGGGCAAGTCCCAGAAAAAGTGAAGGTTCACTTTCAGCAAGGACAGTGGAGCATAAGTACCTCTACAGGGCATGCAAAAAGAGCAGTGGGACAGAAGTGGAATGTACATGACTCCAAAACAGACACATAATGGTACAGGAAAGTAATGGTGAATTGTGAGTGCAGTGGTGCCTAGGCTTTCTAGCCAAAAACTAAATTCTGTTTTGCTAAGTACCTGTTAAAATCACTTCTCTTTAAAGTTTAAGGACTTGTATTTGCCTTTTGAGCTATAAACACTTCCAGTTGTAAATACTGTCAATATTACCCTAAATATAGTTATCTGTTCTCAGTAACTAACTTTTAATTAGGGTTAATTAGGGAGGTCAGTGCCAAGTGGTGTTCCTCAGGGGTTGGTGCTGGGTTCAGCATCTTTGTCGGTGACATGGACAGTGGGATTGAGTGCACCCTCAGCAAGTTCACTGATAACACCAAGCTGTGTGGGGCAGTTGACACGCTGGAGGGAAGGGATGTATCATCCAGGGGGACCTGGACAGGCTGAATAGGTGAGTCCATACAAACATCATGAAGTTCAGCAAAGTCTAGTGCAAGGTCCTGCACCTGGGTCAGGGTAATCCCAAGCACAGACACGGGCTGGGCAAACAATGGATTGACAACAGATTTGGGAGTGACAGTGGATGAGAAGCTCACCATGAGCTGGCAGTGTGTGCTAGCAGTCCAGAAGGCCAGTTGAATCGTGGGCTGCATCAAAAGGAGTGTGGTCAGCAGGTCAAAAGAGGTGATTCTTTCCCTCTGCTCTCGTGAGACCTTTCCTGAAATACTGTGTGCAGTTCTGGTGTCATCAACATAAGAAGGACATGGAACTGCTGAAGCAAATCCAGAGGAAGCTATGAAGTTGATAAGAGACTGGAGCACTTCCCCTATGAGGACAGGCTGAGGAAGTTGGGGCTGTTCAGCCTGGAGAAGAGAAGACTGCATGGAGACTTCCTAGCAGCTTCTCAATATCTGAAGGGCCTAAGGGAGCCAGAGAGGGACTCTTTGTTAGGAACTGTGATGCTATCATCACAAGGGGTAATGGATTCAAACTGAAGGAGGGGAAGTTTAGGTTAGGTATTAGAAAAAATTTTTTTAATATAAGGGTAGTGAGACACTGGAACAGGTTGCCCAGGGATGTGGTGACTGCCCCAACCCTGGCAGTGTTCAAGACCAGGCTGGATGAGGCCTTGAGCAACCTGATCTAGTGAGGAGGTGTCTATGCCCAGGCCAGGGAAGCTGGGACTAGATGATCTGTAAGGTCCATTCCAACTCTTAAATTCTATGATTCTGATTAAATTTTATCTTTGATTGTAAATCACTATGTATAAAACACAGCCTATCCACTCACATTGTCACAATGTTGACATATGATCAGGCAAGTAGATTATTTTGCTGAGGGGAGAGCTGTTGTTCTACATAACTATCACCTTAGTTTATTTTTTCAAAGGTTTTTAATGTTGCATTTCCAGATTCTAGTATCTTCAAAGACTTTACATGTGCTGCTCCTGTCCCTTTAGCTGGGGAATTTAGTTTCAGATTTTGTCACACATCTCTAGTTCCCCACTGTCTGAGCCATGTTGCTGCCCCTCCAAAAGCTGTGGTATATCAGCAGTGGTGACTTTTATAGCATTCAGCTCAGTACTCTCTTTGACTCTGTTAACCTCTCGCATCTGAGGTCAGTGATCACACTTATCCAAAACCAGTGATGTTGCTGATTTGTGGCCTGGGAATAGCATTTTGAGACCTGATATTCCCTAGCATATAGACAATATCATTTACAGGAGCAATGATTTCTAGGACCCCTGTAGACCACATCACTCACCAGGATACTCCAGACGTGGAATGCTGTCTGCACACGCAACACCTTCATCCATAAAACTGTGCCTCCCACATTTTCTGAAAGTCTTAAAGATGAACCTATGACCTTATCACATTTCCCAGATAATGTAATGGTATCAGACAACTTCATGGACTCCTGATATTTCTGAGATCTCTTGACATTTCCTGGGAAAGCTGTCACAGCAGCTATCGGAGTTCTCAGTAATAAAACACAAGAAAAAACTCTAATTATTCCAAATTCTGCCAGATTTATTGGCACAACAAATTGGAACAATTTGTAAATGTTCCTTGTTCTTAGTCTCCTTCTAGCTGTCCTTCTGTTTGTCCTTCCTTCCATGCTCAATTTAACTTTTTGCTGCAGGCAGTTTGCATCTTCCCATTACTTCTCTTTTCTTTGGTCTTCTCTTAACTTTAGAGGAGTGTATGTGAGAAAGTGTAGAGATGAGTGGTGGTCCATCCTCACCTTTCTTAGGATAACTATGTTGTAAACACCTTCAAATTTTTCATTACAGGACATGAATTTAAAGAGTCAGGAGATGAATATCATTTAAAACTTCATATATAGTCCATCTAAATGTAATTCCTCATGAATTAACAAAACCCAGAAAATAACACTGGAAAGCAACAGAGAGAAACCGGAAGGCAATAGTATGTTAGAGTATAATACTTGAGATACGATCTAAAGTTTTGAAAATCCTACATCTGGAGGGTATGAATGGTAGGGTTTAATTTTATAATGTGTATTTTCATATATAATATTTATTGTTTAGTCACTGGTGTTACAGACAGTCCGTTCTACCGCCAGAGTTAATCTGTATCTTGGGTGTGTCTTGCTTGGTGGTGACTTCATATAACAGAGTACATGGCTGGATGCTTAGCAGGTAAAGCATTGTCTGATGAAGAGTAGTTAAGGATTTTTCTAAAGTTAACTGTCAGCACCTTTTGCACTTAAGACAATTCAAAATGTTAAATAACAAGAAATACTCAATTTTATCTTTGTTATTTTCCAGTTCTCTCACTGATCTTTTTGAAATCTGGTATTTGGTTGTTTGCTCTGGAGAATGGATGGATATTGCTGCAGAACAATTACTTAGAGCTGCTGTAAACCCAGATACTTTGCTGTGGCTGCTGGCATTTTACTACTGTCCTCAGAATGCAAACCAACAAAGGACTCAAACAATGGTGGGTAATGTAGCGATAGTACGTGGCAATTAGCAGTCAATTGTCTTGATTTTCTCTCATTACCAATAAACAAATTGTGCACACCAGAAAAGAGAAAGGTATTGACTTTACAAGATCTCCTGGGACTTGTGTTGCAGTGGAGAAGTTGAATGATAATTTTTTTAAATTTTCTTGTGAAATTTGGAAAACATTTTTCCTCTTTTCAATGTACATTATATAGATTAGCACCTTCTTGGCGTTCTTTTTGATAACCTGGGTGCTTTTAATCACAAGTAAAACTACTCTAGGGATGATAATTGTTAAATCGCCGTGTGGCAGAACCCAGTATTCCTATGTTATGGCATCTTCTGAGAAGTAAACACGGAGAAATCACAGCAGTCAAAGCAGTAAAGATACTTATCAGACACAGCCTTGAATCCTAACCTTTTGGCATTTTGGCATACTGTGACAAGTATGTAATATTCCCATATGCTAGGTTTCTAACAGAAGGAACAGTGTTCTAACCTTACAGACTGTACTGCACGAAGAGTGCTGTGTATGCATGCAAATACATGAAAGCCTTTAATTCAAGCCTATTATACAAGTTTGAAGTAGCCCAAGCAATCTACAAAGCCTAGATTTAAAATTTGGCTGCAACCTCTCTAGTTTGCCTTAGTTTGAAAAAGGATTCTGTTTGATGTAAAAATGCAGTTCAGTATACCACACTAGTAAAACATCACGCTTTAATTTTACACCTTATGGTCCATGTGCAACAGTGCATTATGCAACATCTTTTTTCCCCTCCCAATCACTTGTTTTTTCTTTTATTTCTTATAGTCTAGAAGTGGGGGGTGGGATGTTAGCTGAGCAGAGTTAGGCTAGAGCTACAGTGAAGTAAAGAAATCAGGGTTTGTTTTTGAAAGAAGGCAGAATGTAAGAAATAAACACTAGTGAATGAAACTGAAGCACTACAGGTGCAGATTTATGTATGGAATATTGTTCTAACTCCAGCACCACAGAATGGAATAATTTTGTCCCACTTATAAAATCATCTCCCTGTGTCCCCCCTATTCTAGAAGCTTGTTATTCTGTCATATGACAAATTTTAGTGAGAAAAAAGCTTTGCTACTCACAACCCACACAGTTACTCATCTTTTCCCAGAGATCTAATATTTCATTATCATTCTTTCCTTAGGTACTTGAAGTAAGATTTTTTTTTTTTTTTGCACATCAGGCTACTTCAGAAGCATTCCCACAGTTCATGCAATGCTCCTGTCTTTAGTTAGGTATTTGCTTTTTGGTTTAATTTATCCTTTGGCAGGTTAGCTCTCAGCTCCTTCAAATGAAGTGGTTTCTACCTCAACCCCTGCACCTTTCACCACTTAAGGATTAAGATTCTATAGGAACTTCTGGCAGATGTCAACCTGGAGTACTTTTCATTCAGGATATTTTTGAGCGGAAAGCTGTGCACACCTGACTTAAGATTTTATCTTCCTGCTCCTAACTTTAGGTAACACCTTTATATCAGCAGTGGAATACATAGGGTTAAAATTAAAGAAGAAAAAGGCTCCTTCTGTGGTTCATTAGACTTCAGGCATAGATGCAGGACTAAATACAGTGCTCCTTAATATTTATTCATTTGTTGGAATCCTTTCATACCTTTAGGCTCTGAAACATTGAAGGAACAAAGGTTGGAGGTTGGCACTAAGAATGAGACTCCGAGGGTACATGAACTCTTGGAGCAGAGCTAGCTACTATCCATTTGCAGTCCCTGGCACATAGGATGTGCAGAGGGGTAAAGAATCTTGAAGAATTCCAGTTGCCTTTGCCTTTCTGTAGATTCTGGTATTATTTGTGCCTCGCATGTAATTGTGGGTTTAATTCAAGAACAGCAGCTTTTTCAGACTATTTTATGTGAAATTGCTAAACGGGTGGGTCAAGGTCAGATAAATGACTGAAACAAACTGTCTCAATGAATACTCTTAGGAAATGCGTGTCCTATCCCTTTGGGTCTGCACTGGTGTATTTTCCCATTGTTCCTGCAGTTACTCATTTGCATTTTTTCTACAAGTTTATTTGGTTCATTTTTAATATAGCAAACAGAATTATTGTTAGGATTTTTTGCAGTAGCTGCTTATAGTTCTTTTTCCATTGTGTAGGTGCCAAAATCTTCTGTTTTCTACTCCCAATAAAAATTAAGTTTTATTGGCTAACTCACCACATAAAACCGTAAGTTGCAAACAGCGCAGGAAGAAGGAAAAAACTGCTTTCTTACCAGAACATTTTATCAGTTGAGGTCAGGTTGCATGGGGATTTAATTGATTTATAGCAGCAATACTGAAATGAGCCCTTGAGGAGCCTCTATTCTTTTTCTCACAATGCAAAAATGTGACCATGTTCTGCTGAGGGATTTTCTCCATTTCCTTTTATTATTAAAAAATGGTAAAATCCTGGCTCAGTGCCCTGTCTGCTTAATTTGTAAGACCAAAGAAAATTAAAAGATCCATTCTGTCCACATCTCTGTGTGTGAATCAGTAGAAAAGAAATGTGTACAGCCCTTCCTTCCTTGTTCTCCCTGCTGCTTAAATTCAAACTCTTGTCATGTTTGGGTAGTTTCTGCCAAGGATTCAGTTTCCTTTTAGTGAATAAATCCAAAGGAAAAACACCATAGATTTGACCTTTACTCTTCTCTGATCCCATATCCTTTGAAATTGTTTCCTACAGGTGGAAGCTCAAGCAGTCTACAGTTGTCTAATGACACTCTTCAACTGTACAGACCTTTCTCTCAAAGATCTGGAGACTGCTGTACACAGGATAACAGATACAGAGCAGTGTTGTAGCCAGCACCTTATGACACATCTTCTGACCAACTTTTTGCTGTTTTCTTCTGGTGGACCTATGATTGCCCAGGAATGTATTTCTGATGTAAGTGTTTCTTCCTTTTTGTCAGGTTAAGTAAAATATATATTTATTTTACTATTTTGGATTTAGGTTTCTACCTTTTAATAAAGTAAACACATAACAGAGAATTAAAGATCACGAGTACAATGGCTATATCTAATGTGCTACATACCTATTTCAGTTACAGTCAAAATATTTTCCATTCACTTCTTGATAAGATCTCACTGAACAGGTTGCTGTCCTGACTATACAGATGCAGAAATAGTTGAAGTAGGAGTTTGCAATTAAGGGATAACTACAGTTCTGTTACAGTTGGTATAGATAGCATGTGTAAACATTTTGTTTTTCTCAATTATAAATCACTCCCTAAATTATCCATCAACTGCAGAGATGATGGAACTGTTTTCTCACTGTTTTCCATTAGATGAAACAGCTGGTAACTAGGTGTTAGCATTGATGTGGTAGAAGCTTGCTGCTTTAGCAAAGCCGGAAAACAGTGTGGTAACTGAAAGAGAAGGAAATAATGAAGAGCTAAAGACAATGACTTTCAGGGTGTGAAAAAAGCTGAAGACGAGTAGAAGGTTGGAAGCTTCCCACTGTATCTTTCTATTTTTGATTACAACCTTTAGGTATATTGGTGCAAACTGTAAAATGTGTTTGTGTCTCTCCAGATAAACAGTGCTATCTCAGTATGAGATTAGAAATTCATTCCTAACTATAAAACCATATTCTTTTAAGAAGTACGTGCCTCCTATGCCAGCAGGTCTAGGGCCAGTGTGTGGTTTTAACAATTCCAAACAGATTTTCCTTTCAGCAGCAGCGTGTTCTTCTGTCTGTAAAGCGTATTGTTAAGGCCTGTTACAAAGGCCTGAGCCAGAGTTGACCTTCACATGAACTCTCACAGATACTGTAGGAGTGAGCAGCTTGAAATTCGCATGCAAGATGCGTGATCATAAACCTGATTGGTTTAACACAGTGGATTAACCAGTAATAGAGTAGAATAAAGAATGTGGACACAGAGTAAAAGATGATAGGCTTGTATTGCCTGGAACATGGACCCTGGCCAGGTCCATTGTCTGACTGATACAAGGAAACGAAACCAGGTATTACTGCACATATTGTGATTTAAGATCTATGGATTTGTTTGTTAAGGTGTGTAAAAGCTGGACCCCAGTCACAGTGGGTTTGGAAACCTCACCTATGAGTGTATGCACTGCATAGGATTTCCCAGCTGCTGGGAGGGATTCTCCAAACCTTCGCTGCTACTGGGACTCCTAGTGACTGCAAACGTGGGTGATGGTTAAGCATTAGGACAATTGGTGATGTATCTTCCTTTATCACTATAGGTAATTGTACATAGTAATGATGAGGTGCGTTGCCTTGTTTATGCTGCTTTGTCAAATACGGTAAAAGTAAGCTTATTTTCTTCTAATTCATGTTCATTTACTTTTTACTGACCCCGTCCACTCAGCAATGCAGGTATATGGCATGTGTATGGGATTTTATGACACAGGTGGCTGACTAAACAGACATAATACTTTTCTATTTTAGGAAGAGCTAAGATATTTCTCATATTTTACGTGCAAGTTCTCAAATGATCAATTTTTTTCTTAGCATAAGAATGCTTACAGTCGCTTTCTATGGAGGTGACCTATAAGTGGGTACACTGTCTATCCATTTGTTTCCTTTTAAAAAACTTTTAAAACTTTCTGGCCTCTTGGTATGTTTCACTTAAATTTGAGAGAACAGTAGAAATCTCACAGTTGCTCTGTTCCACTACGATGTATGAAAAGTAATACTTTGGGCAGAAGTTGCTTTTGAACTCAGAGCATCTCACATATTCAAGTGGTGAGGGACAAACCCATGGTTTTGTTGCAAATATTAGTGGAGAATTCTTAGTATTTAGCAATGTAATTACATTAATTCCCATTTTCTGTTTCCCTTTAGATTACTGAGGCAACTAATACAAGCAAAGAAGTTTGCAGCCTTCTTATCCGTACTGCATACAGATTTAAGCAAAATGGAGAAGAAAACCAATGGATTGTGAAGCTGCTGAATGAACTTCTTCAAAAACCTATCTTGAAAGTTTAGATTTTAATATCTGTTTATCAAGGCAGCCAATCAGATCTGTATGTGTCAGATTTCCATTAGCATCTCACACCACAGGTTACCACGGGTACAAAGATATCTACATACGCATATCCCACAATTTTATATTGCCTCCTCAGTGATTAAAAATAATCCGTTGTTTCAAAATGTTAACCTTTTGATACATAATAATAAATATTAAAGAGAGTTAAAGATTTTGTTGTGAGCCCCTCTGGTTACAAGAGACCTACATCACTTAGAGCAGTTCGCTTATCTTCTTCTTGTTTTTCTGGCTGAGGTTCAGCTTTTCTTTCAAATTACGCATGTGGGTTGTGTTTTTTTTAGCAAATCATAGCCAATTTCTTGATTGGTAAGTTGTTTCTAAAATGTTTTGTTCTATAATTCTGCTCTTATGAAACCAACGATGATCTCAAGTGATTCATGGTGAATGCACTCCGTGTTCTCAGGAAATCAGTGATGTTTCCTGAACTCTTTCCTTCTTTTTGAAAATGTTTCCAAAATGAAATTCCTCCCAGATTTGGTAAATGTTTTTTCTTTTCAGTAATGCAGCTTTCACAGGATAGTGTTCTCTGCAAAGTACTATACCAATTGCTGGTCTTCAACAACAGATTCTGCAGATAGAAGGTTGCTTGCGGTACAGCCCACTTACCGTGTGCCATGACTGATCCTATTGTTTATCTGCTTAAGAAATTATTTTTTATTCAGACAAAACAGGGCAAGCTCAACAGAGAAATAGGAACGTCTTCCAGTTTGAGGGCCAAATTTCCTAAAGAGAGCATATGGTAGCAACTCTCTGCCTTCATTTTTGTGTCCAGAAGTAGTTTGCTTGCTTGTTTGTTTAGTTTTTTTTGACTCCTGCAGAAACCACAGACAGGTAGCTTTAATGCCAACACCTGTGCTATGTTCAAAGATGCTGCTTGGAATACAGTTCTTGCATATAAAATCAGAGACATGTATCTTGAATTAATGCAGCTTTCTGAATGGAGCTTTTTTTTTTTTGAGCAAGGGAAAGGAAAAACGATGTACGTAGTGTCCCTTGGCTGTAAGAAGTGGAAGAATATTTTCTGTAATGCTGTTGACTGATTTCTTACCATTTTATTCCCAGGGTGTCATATTACAGAAGTTACATGCCCTCTCAGTCAGTTTGCTCATGTAATGTTTGATTCCAGCATATAAAGAAATATCAAATACATAATGTATGTCTGTGAAGAAAAGCTTTTTTTCCTTTTGTTTGATTCAAAATATTTCTATGTGGAAATCTAGAAAGAGATATGTTGCAAGTTTTCTGTTGTTGATATTCATACGTATCTGAAAAAGCAAAATCAAGCAGCCCAGTCTTCTGTTCTCTGAATACCATACCTGAAAAGCATGGGATTAAACTAAATTATTAGTTGATCATAAATTCTGAAGTATTTGTCTGGTGGAAACACATGTGGAATGCACTACCTAGAATGATAAATAACCTAAAATTTTAGTCCAAAGTAAGAATGATTTGTTTTTTGCTTTAATTTGTAATCCAGTTGTTGGATATGAGGCTCTTTGGTGTCCATAAGCTTTCTCCATAGTAAGCCTACATGCAATTTCAGCTACTTAGACTGGCAAAGAATTGCAATACATGATTCTTGCAGATTGGTTAGATGAATGACATGGGTTATTATAATTAGATATGTATTGCAGTTTTTGGAGAGGACTTGTTAAGCAGCTTTTCATGGTGCTGTCTTTTAAAATGCATTAAAATTCTTCTAACTCTCTTAAACAAAATCAATATCCTGATAAATAGAAATAAGTCAATTCAAGCAGGAAGGAAATGTACCATGAAGGTAGTAGAAAACCCAAAATTAGTAGTGAATTGGTACATTCATGTCTTCCTGTGTTTGGCTTCTTAAGAAATACTGCATGATTTAAATATGACAAGGAGAGTTGGCTTGTTTTAACAGGCTTTAAGGAAGAAACCTAATTGATGCTGTCTGTAACTTAAAAAAGTTACATTTGTACTGGCATTCTTTTTGCTCTATTTAGCACAGTTCTTATAAGTCTTTGGTATTTCTTTTTCCTTGCTCTTTCACAGTGCTTGAATTATGATCCAACTTTGATACAAGCTGTGATTTTGTGGGATGTTGAAGCCACTTTTGTTAGTTTGCCAGTGGAAGGCAACAGAGTGACTGATTTGGTAGATCTGAGTAATGGAAGATTTCTCATATGGTGGCTCCTGCATTATTCATCCAATGTGCATCTTCTCCTCTGTAATTGCTGCTTTCTGGAAATGTTCTTGGGACCCTTCAGGCTGAACAAACCAACGGGGTCTGAAATCAAGCTTCAAGTAGCTTGTTCCTTCCCACCTCCGTGTCAGCACACACCCTAGTTCGGGATAATACACTGATTATAGAGAACTTTGAAATTGTTCTGCTGCAAGAGGTTGTTTTGAGTGAGAATACAAAAAGCAAATTTAACTTCTCTGTTGATTATGCTTCTTTCTAGTCTAGCACTGCTAAGTTACAGCTTTTTGAATTTTGCAAGGTTTCCAGCATGGGGCTGGGTGGTGTCTGCAGATTTTCTTTAGAAAACAAAAAAAAGCCAGTTCTGTGGCTCTCATTTTATCAAGATCTTACTATAGTACAGCCTATACAAAGTATTCATTTTGCGATGTCTTACAGGAACTGGTATCTTACTGGATACTGCAGTTTATCTGACCAGCAGTAATATGTTAATCTGTTACTTCTAGGATTCTGATTAAGTTTCCATAGTCACAGCATTTTAAGTGCAAAGTGCTGTTAATAGACAGACTGAAGATGCAAGTGAGTTAGTATTAATATAAGTAAGCTGGAATTCATGCCATGGTGCTATATGTTTGGCTTGATTTTGGTTTGGCAGGGGTGCAATCAAAAAAATTCTGAAGCATTAGCACTCTGCAAGTTTAGGATAAAACATTTAGCAAAAATTGCTTGCTGTTATTAATTAAAACACTATTACAACAGGTTTATTCCATTGTGTTGCTGTATTATCTAATACAGAATTAATATATCTAATATATCTTAATTATCTAATACAAAATAGAATCCTAATGTTCTGAGTGAATGAATAATGTCATGCTTATTAAAATGCAGTTTCTCCTGTGCTATAAGGAGGGTGTAGAAAGGTTTAATTTCTGACGTAAAAGTGCAGTGTCCTACTAGGCCTGAGTTTAAAAAGTCAAACCCTGGAATTCTACACGAGTCCATGTTTGAATCCATGTTTTTATACTTCCCAGATAGTCTGCTATGGCTTTGTTGTGCAGTCAGCATGTTTTGCTAGGCAGCACCAGTAGTTAAATCACTGTAGCTGAATACTCCAGTGCTAGAGGCATCCCATAACACTTAATTCATAGCAGTGTTCAGATGTGGGCCTCCTTAAATCCACTTCTTTGGCAAGTTTTCCTTACTCATGATACAATTTTTCCTTAAATGCTTGCCTGGATTTAAAAGATATGCTCATGGTAGCCATTTCATTTGCTGCCTTAGCAGAGTAGTTTATTCTGGGAATTTGCTGTTAGGTGGTCTGTTCACTAGTGACTGCCAAAGAGGTGTTTCCCTTGCTTGCATTGGCTATCTTCCTTTAACCAGCTGTGTGGGTGCTGGGAAGGAATAAACCTCATGAGCCCCTTCCAATGGCTTAAGTGTACTCACAGTTGACTGGATCATCTGAGTGGCCAGGAGCCAGCTAGGGATAAGCATTGGATTGCCATCAGCCACTGAAACAAAAACCTGAAGTGTCAGCTGGCTGCAGCTGAGTTGCAGCAATATAGGTAGTAGGCAAAGACTGCGCTTCACTTTGCATTGTGTATTCTTCCATGTGTGTGAGGGGAGAGCCAAAGAAACAAAAATCCAGCATGTTGAAACTCAGTTGCAGAAATTTAGCTGTGATTTTTATATTGTAGTACTGATAGGATTACGAAATAATAATTCTATACATGGCAGTTAACCTGAACAAGTAGCACAAAAATAAAAATCCAGCAATACTGTCTTTAACAGGTCTGTATGTTTAAGTTCCCATCTCATACTGCTTGGAAAGCACGTTTCATAACTCTTCTGTATTATGTCAGATGATAGACTCATTTAATAAACAAGGACACCCTACAGGAACAATAACCCTCTCCTTTCTATCCTATTCAATAAAAATACCTGTTAGGCCCATGAACCTTTGCAGATTCATACTGTCATCTTGAAGAGCTCACGTTTTTACATATTCTTGACTAAGCACTCTGAATTACTGTCCTTGAGATTTCCCATGTGTATGTGCCAGTTAGCCTGTATGTACAGTTTATTCACTCCTTGATAATTTATTTCTTAGCTTATGAGTTTATTTTGAGGCTCCCCAAACAGGTGCAGGCAATTTGTCATTTGCCTACTACCGTTACAAGTTCCCCTAATAATTCACATATGAGAAAGCAGCTTTTCTTTGTTTTGACTAATGATGCCATAACTTCTATCATGTATAAGTCTTCTGAAAATAGGACTTCAGCTTTTTTTTTGCCAAACAGTCTTGTAATGTAGCTGAAGATGCAAATTTCCCACCCATACTACCGTTCCCTATAGGGACTGTCTGTAAGTGTTTAAGTGCTTATAATCCCTATGACTGTGCTGCACTTCCATATCAGCTTGAGATGTCTGCAAATAGAGAGGGAAAAGCCAGTATCGGATTCCATGGAAGAGGAGAGAGGCCTTGAAATATGATGCAGGATTAATTCGTAAGATGGAAATTGACGATATGCCTGTGAATCCAGGCGTTTTGTCAGTTTCTGGCAGGCAGGATCACGAGTGTCTTTTCTGAAGACATCACTAAAGTACAAATGTTGTCTCCATAGACCACTATATTTCTTCTTACAATGCACGGCAAAACCCACTTTATATTTCCATTTTCCTTTCACATGTGTTTGCTTCTTTGCTAAAACACAAATGATCAGCGCTGAGCAATACCCAGTACAGCACACTTTCCAGGCTAGACTG